AATCGAAAAACTACCCCACCCAAACAGAAACACGATTTGAGCCGGAGGCTTGCTCGGTGGATCAGCCAAGTTCGAGGATGAAGGCACACGAGAAAACCACATCAAGGACGCAACTTCCGCGTCACATAGTTCCATGGCCAGGAGCAAGCTGGGCCAGGCGCCATCGTGCGCAGTTCCCTTGATGAGACAATCAAGGACGGCGTAGTTGTCTTGGAAGAAGATCGCCCTTCTGCCACCCAAGAAACGCCTCCAAGTCTGGCCGATCAGATGCTCTTTGCCCGCTGCGCGCCATTCTTCGACGAGCGCAGCGGGCACTGCTGCGCCAAACACTTCCACAGCTTCCCCAGGATCACCCCTCCAATGGTGGCTTCCCCCAAGCTGTTGCCCGGTTCGAAAGCTCCATCAGTGAACACCAGCACTGGCCTTGGCTTAACATCCACAGAGACTGTTCGTGGAGGCCCAGAACAGACTCGCCTCTGCATGATTCGCAACGCATCAAGCGCTCTGGCATCCAAGTTCAAGGTCCCCGTGCCACCGGACGCAAACTCACGGATATCTGACATGGCAAGCCTGCCTGCCCTGCCAAAAACCTGCAGATCTGCAAACTGCATGCGCCCAAGCATCGAAGGGAGTTCCCTGCAATTGAGCTGCTTAGACTCCAGGATATGTTGCACAGCTTGGCATACTTCCAGCTTACGCGACTCTTTCTTGCCAACGCGGACACTCGTTGGGTCCGACAAGTCCAGCTCCACGCCTAACATCTCTGCCACCTGCGCAAACGGACGCAGCTCGTCCAGCGTCAACACGAAGCCCAAAAGCTCCATCATGACCTTCACGCTTTGCATGGTTGACACTTCCAGCGCGGTGCGCGACAAGGTCGGATAGTCGTCGAAGTAGTTGGACCATGGGATGGGGAGGTCGCATCCAATGGCCCACAAAAGGCGCGCCACGCGGTTGAAATCCCCAACTGATGATTTTGCTCCAAACGGCAGAGCCCTCATGAGGAAACAACGCGGCTGTCTGGTTTCAGGACACACGAGGCTCACGAACGCCTTGCTCACATCACACGGCGACACAGGCAGCTGCTTGTAAGCACTCTTCAGGTCAAACGTGGTCGCTTTGAAGCTTGGTGACATTCGAACCCAGTCCTCGTGAAGTTTCCCCACAAGGCGAGTTCCATCCGGCAAGCGCATCTCGACAGATTGGTGCAGCACGCAGATCAAAGCCGACCACACCACATGATCCATAGCGCCGAGAGAGACAGACTCCACTGAAGTGAAGGCATCATTCAAGCTGTTCTCACGGCAGTCATCAATGCAACGAATTTTCTGTTTCTGTTGCACACCGAAACGCCTGAGAGGAATCCAGTTTTGACACAACCTCCTATCATCTTGTTCAGGGGACAGACGACAGAGGTCCTTCGAGCCAACCCTTCGCGTCAGCTGCCTCCTCGCACGTCATGTCATACACAGCGGCCGCGAGGTCATCGACTTTCTGAGCACGAATCTTTCCTAGCAGCAGTGGCTTGAGAAACTTTGCCTTTGCCAGCAGCTCTGCTACTGAAATTGAGGCTGGTCTCACTTCAGGCCGAAACACTCCGGTCGCAGTGGCTATCCCAGTCAACTTGAACCCCTGCTCCAGCTCGTCGTGTAGCTTGACATCAGGCCACGCGATCTCCGCCGCAATCTTTCGGAGCAAGAGCAATCTCTTTGATCTGACAATGCGCTCCACCGAGGGGCGCAGTCGTCTCTTCAAGTCCGCTTCTTCCTTCTCCGTCTCTGCTGCCCAGAGTCTCCACTTCTTAAGCTTAGCAAGACGAAGCTTAGCTATTTGAACCGGGCCCACAGTCAAAAGTTCAAACAAACATACAATCAGCCTATCAGGGACGTTAATTAGTTCATCAAAAGGGTGCCAAGGTTGCCGCGCCAGAGTCACGAACTGCTCCATGGAATGGTGGACCCCAAACACGCACAGCACCTTGCCCTCACTCCATCGCCCCCACTTCTCTTCAGCTCTAAGCAACCTGTTGCCGGCAGGGACATTGCGCACACCTGTCCGGAGAAACTTCCCCTTGTCAAGAGGCGGCGCCGCTGGGCACACGCCTGCCTTTAGGCTGCTTGAAAGGAAGAAAAACATGTGGATCAACAGGCGGGCCAGCCAATGTAAGACCCGCCTCCGCAGCTAGCTTCACCAGCGTCTGCGCGTAGGCCTCACAGAATGCCGGAGTGTACTCTGCCTCCGAGGCCGTGGCGAACTCGCCAGTGCACGGATCTATGCCAAATGGCTGGTGTTCGTGGGCGCCATCACACTCACGCCACAACTCAAAGAAAGCAGTGTGGTTGGTGAGCAGAGCGCTCTGCTTGAAGCGCTCACCGCCATACATGCAGTTGTCATAGCACACAAACATGGACTTCTGCACCAACTCACGCATGCACGGCAGGTCCCACAACCAACTGTTCCGTGGGTTTTCCATGGACCACGGCATACTGTGATTCAAACAAAAGGCTGCCCATGTGCTCATAGATGGCGTTGGCAGATGCCACCCGCGTGGCGTCATGCGACACCATGTCAGGCACTTCCATGGAGAACCCAGGCTGCGAAGCGCTGGCGGCCCCGGACTGCCATCTGCAAGCGGCCGGCCACGAGCCTTGGAACAGGTCTTTTGACTTTGACTTTGAAACGCAGACTGGTGAGTAGTCTTAGCGTGACACAGGCATTTCAGAAAGAAATGGCCGATAAGGTATCGGCACCCATGTTTATGGGCCCAGGTACAGTGAAAAGAAAAAAAAAAGAAAAAAAACTACCTACGCAAGAGCAGACCACAAAACAAGTACACTACGTAGCACGCGGTATGTACAGCTAACAGAAGCCGTCCAAGTGGCCAACGTATGTACAGGAGGACAGCTACCCCGCTACCCTACAGCACTCAAACGAAAGCTCTTTGAACCAAGGGGTGATTGACGCAGTATGCAACCATTTCACTCCCCGCGAGCGTGAGTGGCATGACCATCACTCGCACGACGCAGTGTGAAAATGAAAGGATAGCAGTCTGCGAAGCTCACCCGCGTTGAGTTGCTCTACCTGCCTAGTGCAGTATGCCGCTATGACCAAACGATCGCCTTCCCAGGCACAAGTCTGATGACGCACCAGCGGGTTGAACGCGACACCAGGCAACTGCAGCGGCAACACCTCGCCGCGGATGCCATTGGAAACTACAGCACCTTCCGAGTGCTCCAGCCATAGTCCGCCTCCCAAAGGATGAGCACGGCACAAGAAAGTTCAAGCTACCCGCAGCATTCCCCTTATCAACATGCACTGTGTGCTCAACGTTGAGGCGCAGGCTAAAACTGGTAAAAGGAAGATGCGGGCAGCTGCGGACGAACGTTGATAGAAGCAAAGTGCACCAGGGATGTGTGCGCATGGTGGCACGCAGGCCATGTATGCCCCCCCGTGTAATAGAATGAGGCTTGCTGCTTACTGCGCACGGAGGCACCATTGCCTGTGGCTATCGCACGCATTTTGGCTTTGGGCAGGCTCTTCGCAAGGTACATGAGGAGCTCAAAGGTGACAAAACAATCCCGTGTAGCTTCAGCAGCCAGGTACTCACAGCGACATTTTGGCGCCGGTATGTATGGCAGTCTCAGCTCAGACAGCTCCAGGCCTTTGGGCAACCGCACAGGTGACCAGTCCAGTCCCTCAGAAAAAAGTACGCCGGGCGCATCTTCGAAATCCGTACCATCAGAGCCCTCTGGAGTTGCATGAGCTGCAGCTGGGACATCGGCGATGTCTTGCATGGCTAGAGCAGTGCCAGGGAGTGCACCGTCAGAGGAATCACAGAGGTCAATCACAGTTGCACTAGCACCACTCTCACACACGCCCGCCTCGCTCTCCCCGACACAAGTCCGAAGAGGCTGTGAAAATTTGGCACTCATTGTGCAGCCAGAAGGTTGTACCAGTAGCGGGCCGGGACATGTATGCTTCCTAGGAGGCTTCACAACTGGAACAAGAAGTGCAACCCTCCTAAAGGAGACCCACACGCACATCGTTGTGGGGCAGAGCAAGGTATGAAGCATGGGACAACAGGGATATGTGGCAGCTAAGCCAAGTCCGCACACCCTCATGCACGCACAACTCCAAACCTCCAGTAACAAACCTTCAGCCATGCACCAGGCCCGAATGCCGGCCTCACACAGCTACTCAACACTCAGAAAAAAGAGATAGGCTTGCTCAAGCAGTTGCGGATGCAGTTCAATCGCCATGCACTCCGGACTTCTGTTGTCATCTGCCACGTACACATGTGTATGTGATGGCTCCCCCTCACCCAGCAGCGGCACCAGCGTACGATAGTGCCCTGAGTCCGGCTGATTGCCAACGCGAATCACAATGGCCCTAATGCGAAAGGTGCACCACTGAATGTCAACGCGCTCACCACTTCTGAAAACCGGCATCCCGACCCTGCCTGACTCCCACCCAATTGCCGAGGAGTTCTTGACCGCTCGACCTGCACTCTGGGAGAAACGGCCTAACTGCAAAACCACATGATGCGTGCCAGTGACAAGCGCCACGCCCCTCCTGCGCCACTCTGTGACGCATGACTGAAGACTCAGCAGAGGCCGTTGGCTGGGATCAACAATGTCAAAGCAGATCACAAATCCTCCGGAGTCTGAGTAGCGAGCACCGGCATACGTACGCCACTCACTAAGGCCTGGGGCAAGGGGATATCGACTGAGCGGCATCGCGCTGGCGCCCTGGGCTCGGCCAGCCTTCAGTAAGTGAGGACCATTCGGGCTGCCTGCGCACATCAGACTGCGCTCCGGATTGACGCCTCAGTAGCTTGCTGAGCAGCCTTGACAGTGGCGTGGGCTCCAATGGCATCTGCGCATAGAGCATACACAACGCAAGGAGCGTCGAATTTACGTAGCACATGTTGCTGCGGTTAACGAGCACCACGCCTAGAGGTTTTGGAGGAACTTCTGCAGCTGATCGGCTTGGTTGGAGCGTTGCGCTCTCTGCCCCCGCATCCTGGCACCTATCAGCTCCAGCGCTGCAAGATCTGTTAGCATCCCCACGCTGACGTGAAAGGCATCGTCCCTGATGGAGGTCTCTATCAGGAAAGGAATCTGCTCCCCCGTCATGTCCTCCGCCAGAGGCTTCATCGCCTCGAAGCGCTTGATCCCGCCGCCCTTGCTGACTGTGCTCATCAGTTTGTGAAGGACTTGATCTAGCGAAGAAGGATCCAAGGGTTGCCTGTTTGGATCCACGACAACCTTGCTTGCTTCTGGGTCCCACTTCCTGTAGAGCCACTTGTGATCTGCGTTCATCAAGCCGAGCTGCACTGCTTCCTTCATCGCCTCGGGCTTTTGACTGGTCATAGCTAGCCTGGCCTGAAGCTCTCGCAGAAGGCACTGAAAGGTCGTGGTGGCCAGCGTTGCACTGAGCTTGCCTGGCTCCTCCTTCTTGAGCCTTCGCCACTCGGCGGCGATCTGAAAGAGCGTCGGAACTATTGTGCCCTTGTGCGGCGCTGTGCGCACGACCAAGTAGAATCCCACCTCTGTGCTGAGACGATTCAGCTGGTCTCCTTGCCTTAGCACTAGCCTGGATAAGACCTATGGTCTGAAGGAGGTCCTCCTCCTTGCCTCCAGATCTGGGATTCGGGGGCCTGGGCCTTTTCTTGGCCTGCGGTGCAGTCTTGCGCCACTTCTCGTTGTTGGCCCCCGTTGCTACTGCTTGAGTTCCCGGCAGGAGGTGACCGAACAGCCGATCCACTTCCATGAGCTCCTGTCAGGTGCTTCTTCAGAAGATATGCTTGGGTCATGACTGTGCATCCTCCAGCATGTTGTCTGGCATCGACAACTACAGCGCCACAGTGAGCGCACGGGGACACTGCAACTTTAGCTACGCCCTTGACCTCTTGAAGCAAGTCAGCATGGCGCGCGTTCCAGATGGCAGTATGTGCTTTGCGCAAGTGCAATTTAATGCCCGTAGTTTTTGCCACCCACTGCCCGCAGAATCCACAGTGCTGCTTCAGCCGCTCCCTCACCTGTGGGAGCCTGATCAGGGTTTGCCATGTACCCTGATGTTCTTGCACACTAGACCAGGAAATGACTGCCTCACCATTGGCCGTTTGCGGACCCTCTCTCCATGCTGCCTGCGCGTGTGAGCTGGCATGGTTACTGTCTGATTCTGGCTTTGGCTACGCATTGAATTCCTGCTGCGCCTGCACTGGCCCGGAATCAACCTCGCCACCTGCTGCAGTACGCTCGGTCCGAAGTCCGTGACAGCTTTTGCGGTTGATGCGCCTCTTCAGCGCAGACCACCTGGAGAATGCCTGACCGCAGAGTCGGCAATTGGGAAGTCCGCCCTGCGCATGCACAGATTTGTCAAACACATCCTCAAATTTTGCAAAAACTTTGCGCGCGCGACCCTCATGAGATTTCAGCTGGTGAATGTCATGGAACACCTGCCCGCACACCTGACATGCATAGGTAGCTGTCTCTTCAGCAGCAGGAGCTGGAGTTGCAGTGTTGTGTGGGCACTCTGCCTGGCTCGCTGGATCTTGACTCTGGCCCGGATCAAGCGCCTGAAGCAGGCCTCCGACCCACTCACGTATACACTGCCGATTGACACACACACCCCGCTATCTACCTGCGACAGCTGATCCCATCGACGCTGAATGCTCTTCCTCAGGATGTCTCGTGGAGTGTCTACACCAAGCCGCAACAACAGATCCTTGTCTGACTCACGGGTGATGTGCCTGGGGGAGCCGAGGTGCTGCATCGTCTGTGTGTGGACTTTCTTGAGCAGCGCCGGCGTCACGCCGACTGCGTCAAGGCCATAGTGCTGCGCCGACTGCACGCACGTTACCCACAGCGTAAGTCCCCCCCCTGCCTTGCAAGATCCGCTGGAGCCTCTGCTTGTGACCTTGGGCCTGGGCCAGGCGATGTTGCACCGTGAGCGCCTCAAAACGTCCATACGACAGGATGACTCCCAGATACTTAAACTCACTGCTAAGGACCAGCAGGCCTTTGTGAACTTGTTGTATCGAAGGGTCCACTCACCTTTTGCATTCTTGCGCTTCGGCTTGCGCAGCCATCTGTCTGCCTCCAGGCCCCTCACAGCCACCAGAAGTCTTGATTTCGAGGCATTGACCTGAAGTCCGAGGACAGAGCAAAGAGTCTATCGATGTCGTGACACATTTCCTCGCACTGCTTAAAGGATAGGAGATCCCACCTGACATGTGTGTCGTCCGCAAACAGCACCAGGTGGCGTGCAGACCATGCCGCACCAAACTCTGCATCCATGCAACGACATACATAGCATGAGTAGATGACCCAAAGCGCAGGTGCTATCAGGCAGCCTTGCTTAACCCCGCATGAGGCTTCAACACGAAAGTGTCCCTCACCTTCATCGAGGTCCCCGAACTCATACACCGACTGCTCACGCCAGCCCATATGCCGTGATGAGGGGTGGGGG